CGTGTTATTGTACGCGTGAAAGCTTCGAACATAAATAACACACAAAAAGTTCCGATTGCACAAAGAGGTTTGCAAAACGAAGGCTGTTTGTGCCAAGCAAAGTTTCTTAGAATGAAATCAAAACATTTACATGCTGCAAGAATACAAAGCAATATGTGGAATAACGAATGTGGAGACTGAAGGAACACACGACAAGTGAAAGAATAGTAACTACTCTGGCAATAGTTGTTGTACCAGTTAGTTCGCAGGCGAGTGTATCACCGCATGTGCGCAAGGCGAAACTGCACAATTTGCGCTAACGATCAAGACGGCTATTGCACGAATTTGCATTCGGTACACCTAATTTCTTAAAAAACATGGGGGTACAAATAAATTGGCGAAGCGGGTGCGCCACTTTGCGTTCCTGCAACAGATCACTGTTGGAAAACTTAGTTCCAAAGAAAACACTCCACTAGACATTCAACGTGCAAAAAGAGATAGCGAGGAAGATTTTAAAGTAAAACCGTATCCTCGCACAGGAATCTAGAACATCTGAGCGAAAAACTTTTAAAGCATTGTAGATGAGTTCCAAAAATCTAAAAAAGAGTCTCAAGCAAGTGCCTTGTGATCACGCATAACCTCGCCATATACTCGAGGGCGATAATTTCTGACTTGAGCCGGGCGCATTCCTGAGCCAGGTAAGACTCTGTGGAGCTGTTCTCTATGAAATAACTGAAAGGGTTAAGGAGAATAAAACGACAATCGGAAAAATTATGTGTTAAGTTCCTCTCTGCTCAAGTTATGAGAGTATTTGGCAGAGTAGATTGCTTTACAATTTGACCTATTGAGGTTCTGAAGAAGGCGAAACCATTGAAAGGTCGGACAGTTTTATATTGAATAAACCTTGTTGCTAACATCTCCGCACCTGCTTATTGAGACAGGAGTGAATTGTTTGAACAAGGCCGAGGCTAGTAGAATATCGGTCTTGAGAGGATGTTTGTGGTTTTCCGTCTTTGTTTTCTATTGTCAAAACTGCTTCTAAGGTTTGAAGTTAAATGTCTACTTGTCACGTAGCGCAACGTCATCATTACGTTGGAGAAAAGTCCTTCCAAATGAAGGAGGTGGTGGATGTTTAAGAGTATACGATTATCTTTCTCTCACTGAGCAGTTTTCTCTGAGTACCGCAGGGAAATTTTGAAAGTACTTTTTCATACATGAACTAGTTATTTAGGTTTTCTTTAACTTCGAATAGGGAGGTTATCAGTGCCTGCAAAAGTTCTAGTACCGTGCGCTGCACATGTACTGCAACTGGATTGAAAGTGTTATTGTCCACATTGTCAAAAAAAATTCTGTCGGAAAGGGTAAACGGTTTTGTGGTTTAACTTTTCTTGACAGTTTCGAAGTGCCTTATTGCACTTCGAGGTGATGCTATAGGTAGCTAAAAGTTCTGTGCTACAGCAGTAGTGAGTGGTTCGTAGGTTCCTATGATTACATTAGTCCTTGTTCAGAACTTTTGTAGCATACGTGCGGTTTTCGAGTCAAACTTTGTCAATTAAACTCGTATCTATACTACGTACTTCGACACAATGCACTGACGAAACTAGCACCGTGCTAGTGACGCCATCCAATACACGCAACGCCCCTGCTAGAATCTGCAAAGCACTCACCGTACCCCCATTCTTTTGGTGGTGTAAAATTTACACTAAGCCTCTCCGAGATCACATTACTCCTTCCAATCCATGAAAGAAGGTATCTTTCTGAAATGAAGATAGGCAACCACTAGAAACAGCTGACCCATGATTCCTGGAACATAAGACCCGGCCAGCATCTCATGAGTTTCTTTAAAAAAGTGGAAAAATTCTAGAACGTAAACCGAACCAACGCGGAAATCCGAAGGTCCTGGCGGATGGAGGATGTGCGGAATCAAATGCGCAGCAAGAAATACCGGAATCCGCACAACATGTGATATCAGGTTATGTAAAATAAGAATTAGCAAAATGTGATGCAATAAATAAGTGTAAGAATATAGCAAAGAAAGTAGGGCCTGCACCAAAGAGGGAGTACAGCGCGTGCCTCAGCGCACAACGTGGTTGTGACAGCTTACGTCGGTTCCTTCGTAACAGCAATAACAAAAAGTGGTTGATTTCAACCATTTCACCTGTATGTATCGTCGCGCTGATCGCCGAGCGACTGACTCGAGCGGGCTCCAGTAAATCTTACATTTTCCCCTGCAGCGTGCTCTTCTTGCTCTAGAAAATCGTTGAGCATCATATCTTCCTTCTAAATTCTTCGATAGAAACTCTGATCATTTGCTCGAAGGTCCTCCTGCAGTGCGTTTGAGTTCCCGATGATTTCAGTCACTAACGGCTTTTGTCCATCGGCTGTCATCCATACGCATTGCGTGTCCGACGTCCCTTATCTTCGGCAGTTTGGCGTATAGAACGGCATCTTCGATTTTTGCTCGTTGACGCAGTTCGGATCCTCGGCTTTCTTCCCCTTACTTGTGTGAAACGGGACACTCCTAGCATCGTCCTTGCAACTGCGCGTTCAATAACGCTGAGTGACCTTTCATCCAGCTAACGCAGCGACCACGTTTCTAACGCTTACGTTAGGGCAGGAAACACCGTCGAGTCGAGAAGGTAGGCACGGAGTCTGGTGTTCTTTGTTCTCTTCACTACATCCTCAGTGCTCTTGAAGCTTCCCAAGCCTCTTGTTTTCTTCTGCTCAGCTCTGGAGCAAAGTCGTTCATCTTATTCATTTCCCAACCTATATAGACATAACTGGAGTATTCGAAAATATTCGTTCCATTAAGCGTGAATGGGGCATACGAAACCAATCCGTTCCTTATGAGCATCGTTTTTGCGTGACTTGGTCGAGGACCAATATTTCCATAGGCTTTATCAAAGACGGTAAGCATTCGCTTCGCTTGGCTGATGTTTGGTGTTATAAGGACGATGTCCAAAATGAAGATGGTGTCACTGCCGACCGTCGATTTCCACTCTCATATTATCCCATTCTAATGTTCACATGACGTTCTAGAGGGTGGCGATAAATAATTTTGACTGGATGGTATCGCCTTGCCTAACTCTAGTTTTAACGTCAATGTTAATATCGGTGTAGAGTGGTGATAACTTGGTTGCGAAAATTTTATGCAGCTCACGAAGAATATTTGTATGCTGAGTAGAGACTACCTTACTGTCCACGAATTCCGTGACTTCTGTCTCATGTGAGTATAAAGCTTTCCTTAAGTATACGAAAATGAGAGAGGGAGTGGTCTCTTTTATTCTCGCCATGCTTCAATGAGTCTTGCTGTTGTTTGGATGTGATCCATCGTACTGAATCCCTTTCTCAACTCTGCTTGCTCAAATGGCTCTTCATCGTCCAGTGCTCTGTCAACCCTGCTTATAATGACTAGTGTGAAAAGTTTGTAGACGGCGAACAGCAAGCAGATTGGGCATCAATTGCCGATATCGTGGAGGTTACAGTTGAGTACACTAGAACTGTCTTCCTGGTTGTCCATTGAGTAGGGACTTTGCATTCAGATAGGCAACGTGTGAGGAGCCGAGCCAGCGCGTTTGTGAGGATTAGCGGAAGGTTCTTCGGGTGTTCAAATTTTATCCTGTCCAGACCTGGTGTTTTACGATTTTTGACCAACAGCGTAGGACGTCGGATTTCGGAAAGAAGAACCGGTGGTACACCTATCCATCCTCCTTTGTTTCATATGATGGAAGGTGGTCGTGGCAATTGAAGAGATCTGAGTAGTATTCGTCAATGATTTCATTTTCATTCGCTATTGATTTCAATAAAGGTCGAAAGCCTAATCTTGCTATGAAAGTAAAACGGAAAAATCGGCGAGGGAGAACGAGAAGTCAATGTCTTTTTCAGGTCCTCCTTTCGTTGGCACTGGCAAATGCTACGCGTATGCTACTTTATAGGCGAATACAATTTTTTATTAATATTCTATCCTGTGTTAGTACATGCCCATCTATCTAGAGGATAGCAAATGTCACGCAATTGTTTCGTTGCGAGCTTAAACAACACTGAACATACGTTGTTTTACACGAAGTGGTCATGTGTGATTGCTATCGTTGCAAATCATTTGTTGTGTCTACATAGGTAAAATAGCAATCAGGAGGCATGTAGTATACAGTCAGTGCAGAGAACAATGTGTTCTACTAGACTGACTGATAGACTGTTAGATTCCAGTGAAGAATTTATTTCATAAGACGATTATTAAGCATTTTTATGAAAGATTTCCACGATCGTTAACGTTGCGATGGATTGCTTCAGCCGCCTTTCTCCATGGAAATGGACTGCGCTGTGAGTTCCACAGCCGCACAGGCATCTTGCATCATTCGAACCGACAAGTGCTCGGACGGTTCGTCACTCGGTTTCTGATCCATCGGGTAACCACGATTAGGAACTCTGAATGTGCTGTTTGGAACATAAATATGGATTTGAAAAAGATCCACATGGTTTGTAGACGACTTCGGAAGAGATAGTGCTTATTTCAGAAATTCACCAATCATAAAATGGTGACGAGGATAATGCAGGTTGTGGCTGTTCAGTAGAAAAAACTATCCGAATATCGCCGAAGGGTAGTATCAGTTACGCAGAACACCACGCGCGTCGTTCTCGAAAATTGGGGAATATAACTTATTAGTTGGATACTTGAATAGCCCGCCCTCAGTATTTGTGCGAGCCCCAGCGTAACCTACCATTTTTCGAAGAGTTGTTGGCCAGTCATTGCGGTTTTCTGGAATCCCAAGGTCAGTCTGGCCAAAGTCTGCCCCAGGTCCTCACCATCACAAGCGGTCGCAACCTTTGTTGATCAGAGGGAGATTTGCCACTATGTGACTAATTTGATACCAGGGTGGTGATGGATCCTGGCAATGGTTTACTTTTAGCTGGGCTTCCCGATAGAAACGCTGGATTTTTTCTCAGTTTGCGATGCCTTGCCAGAATGGATTTCTCCGATTTACATCGCAGCCCAGCACGCAGGAGCTCTTCCCAGCCACGATGAGGCGGTAAACCGTTGGAAGGATTAGGGAATATTTAGTAACTCTATTAGCGAAAATATGTGCTGTAACCCGCTCCAGCTGACTCCAGGTGTCGGCAGATATTGGGTAGATACTTTGCAATTACTCCATAACGTTGTACACCAACACGATTAATAATAATAAGAATAATAATAATAGTGATAATAATAGTAGTAACAATAATAATAATTCGTATATAATGCTGAAACATTTCCAAAACTCCGGACCGCATACACCTCCGGTCCGGAGTTTTGCAAATATCTCAGCATTATATACGAGTTATATTTCGCAACATACCCTGCCGTTAAAAAGAAAAAGGCAGTAAATAAAAGGGTTAAGATAATAATAATAGTAATGCTATTACTATGGCTGCTATTATTATTATTATCATTATTTTTATTGTTACTATTATTATCATTATTATTGTTATTGTTATTATTATTATTATTGCTATTGTTAGAGCCTGTCCGAAGATGTGAAAAAAATCGTTTAATAAACGAGCTTACGAGTATGCAGGAATTTCTGAGCTGTTGATTGGTAAGTACGATGAATTGTCGATAAAAAGCGAGAAGGGTGCCACGAGAAGCGTAAAACCCAGAGGGTAGATGATGATACCGTTTGGATAGATCTCCGATAACTGTCAAGTACGTTTCGTGAGCGTATGGCAAAAAGTCTTAAGGATACTTACAGAAACAACTAACCGGTGTCCATTTTACTACTTCGTTGTGGGATATAAGAAAGAATGTTGAGAAGAGGAATGACATAGCCACAATTGCACGTGCTGACGTTGGCACGTGCTCAAAAAGAGCCTGAGAACGGTTCGAATTGAGGTGAAGATGTATTAAACACTAGTTAGTGTTCCAAAAGTATAAGAAAAGACTGAATACTAGTTAAGATATCACAGCATTGGGAAGGTCAGATATAAAGTGGTAACTGTTCTAGAAAACATGTCCGTAAGATCCGAAAAAACTTTAGATCAAACTGTCCTCACCAGACGTGCCATAACTGTAATAACACCGGCAGAGATTGTTGTAACTGCGTATGCTACACGTGCTGCTGTCATTTGACATCCTTAAAGTGAATAACGATCTATTGCTACGTTGAAATTAACTTCACTCAACAATTACAAGGGTAGTCAGTATGGTTTACTACAATTTTTCAAGCTAGAAAACATATGGAAGCGTGTGCAGCGCAGTGCTTATAGGTGTCTGCAATGGACATTCGCCAGGTCGATCTCGCACCGTGGGCTCAGTAGCCCTACTATCTCTCCGGTGTCAGAAAATTGGTTCAAGATTTACTGAAGATGGTAAAAACACTGGATCTGTATATTGGCAGGCCTTTCCAAGTTATTTTATTGGTCAAACATGGCATTTAATCACCTCTACGATGCCTGATGTATAGTTGAATGCTGGGCACATCCCACAAGCAATGATCGAGGTGAACGCTTTACCGGTTTTATCACTTTATGATTCGAAAAATACTAGCACCTATAAGCGGTGGAAAAACATCCACGTTTTATCACTGTGCAAAGATATATCATCAAATCATGATTGGATGATGGAATATACCGTCACCAGTCGTCATTCTCGAAAGAGACCATTTCCTTGGAAGACGATTGCGTGATAAATAAAACGATGGAAAATTTATTGGACCGACACAACTCACGACAACGAGGAATTTAACTATCCAAGTAACTAAGAGATGTTGTTTATTGAAAATCATAATGCTTGTAGTAACAGCTACTAATATTACTATTAACCCGATTAGATATTGGGCAAAATAAAATTTCTCTTTTTGATCCAACCGCCTGAAAAGATGCTTGATTCCACGCCGGCTACGGCTTTTCAGGTTTTTAGACTAGGCGACCAATTCTCTTGATGATTAGAGCGGTTTCGCAGTGCTATAGAGAACAATTGTTTAATCGCCCTAGCGCATGTATGGCATGTATGCCACCATTTACTAAATCTTAGTACGGTCCATCGTACCAAACAACGGTGTCAGTACTTGAAAGTATTTTGCAACTTATTTTGGGTCCATCTCTGTCTTCTTTTTACAGCCGTTGCATCGGTGAGTCTGTGAAAATATATGTATGGATATTCTCACGAACTGCCACTGTTGAGCTGATGGACGTTTGTATCAGTTGCAGTTGTTGCTGTTGTAGCTGTGGTCTCAGACTAGATGCAACAAACCCCTCTGAACAAGGCAAAGCCGCCAAAACGTCAGCCATCAAACCAGAGCAACAACAACAACAACAACAACAACTGACGTTGACTTCGTGTGATTTTAACAGAGGCAGTTCGTAGGAATATATGTACGTATATCCATTATTTATGTGGAGCTTTACGCACAGTCAGTCTTTTGCGCTGTAAAAATGAGCTTGTCAAATCCTATTTTCCCATAAGCGCTTGCCTCGAGGCATGTTACTTTTCCAACAGGCGTTATACATCTCCATTCGTGTGCCCAACATCGTTACTTGAGCGATAATTGCTGAAACCATCGCCACGGCGATTGTACAACGACGCCCAAATCTGCAATATTGAATGGTTTTACAGGGCAGGAAAACGTTGCTTTAAACTTATAAACATGGTTATGTTTTTGAAATATCAATTTGCACTATAGTATATTTTACAGTGGTGGTTCGCATTCCTAGAAATCTATGTTTAATCTTAAAATTTTCCTTGTCGGTTTTCTTACGTAACCACATCAACTACGTATGTCTGCTTTCAAATTGCTTTAATTCAAATGTTTTTATTAACTTTTTATTTACTGCCTATCACAATTGTTTAATGTTCTCCCCAGATGAATCCCGTTGACGGGTGATTACTGATGGCAGTGATCGATAGAAGTAGCTGAGAGACAGGCAAAACGAAGGACCTGCATGGTGTGGTGGTGAACGCGTTAGCCCCTGGAAAGGACAATAGCGCATTCGTTCCCCACTGCAGACACCTGCGGTCCGGAGTTTTGCAAATTTCTCAGCATCATTGTGGTTGTATCAAATGCTTCTATTTGTCCATACTTTTCACTCAACTTCCACTTTCGTTAAAATTACTCCAATGAATATTTTGTGAAAATTATTTATTCAACAAAGTCATTTCTCTGTGCCCTCTTTTGCTCTCTTTCACATTTCTCTTTTACCATCTTCACTGCTTGATATTCTTATCTACTCAGGGTTCTGTGGTAAACTATTTCTTGTAAAGTCAAGAGGTAGGTATAATAGGCTAAGAATCGTACCAGTTCAAAGATAAACTAGAAGAGTTTAAAAACATCCTGTTCGAATTTTTTAGTTAAACCAAAGGGTTTGACGCACCTTTGGCCGCGCGATGTTAAGTTCTGCCAAACGAATTAAATTGAAAAAAAAGAGATGCATTCTGTGCAATGCACTCCACCCACAGTGCCCTGCACACACTTATTGCACACAGTGCATCGCGAGCGTTGCGTGCCAACTATCAGCGAACGACACGAAAAGCACTGTTTGCCATCAGCACATCAACCTCGTGAAACTCATACAAGCTACCATAAACAAGATTGAAGCCAGAGAGTTAAATTGTGCAGCTAATTGGCAATTGAATTGTGCAGCTCAGCTAATTGTCTACCTGGTTTTTAAGTTCATCTTCAGTCACTAGGTGAGTCCATACAATTGCAGTAAAGCCCCATTAAATGCATGGAGCCGCTAT